AGGCGAGAAAAGGCCCTGGCACCGGCCGGTCACATGACTTTCAACACCCAGATATAGTGGGTGTAATAAATTATAATAATAATGAATTAGAAATTCCAAGATTGCCGCCAACATAAGAGTGTCCACAAAATTTAAGTGTTTAGAGCGGCTCAAAAATGCGTTTAATCTTTTAAATTTTTCCTTCTTGTCGCTACCGACGTACTCGAAATCAAATTCTTCAGCTTTTATTACATAGGAACTATGTAGTTGCTGTTCTTCCCAGTTCCAACTGGGTTTGGTAAATATCGTTCAATAATACTAACCTTCAACAAATTGTATTTAACAGGGGCGGATCCAGACCGATGCCAACGATGCGAATGCATCGGTCAAAATTGAGAAATCATGTTGCTTGAAATAATATATAGACATATTATACTTGGTCAAGCTCTCAGTAATAGAATATCTTTGAATCTCTCGAGCTATCAAACCGCAAATATTTGCTTAAACTTGACTCCATGTCAGGAATACACTATTTAGGATGAAATCCAATTTAAATAGTCTCAATATAAACTGTCGAAATTGTCAAAATAAGTCCAATATGCGACGTGCGATCGCAAATGTGTACTTTTTGTTATTTACTTTTTATTTTGCGACACTTAAGCGTCAATAATTTCGCGACAAAATATGTTATTTTTTACCGCATCCTTTGACGTCACAGTAGAAAGCTGATGCATCACCTACGTCACGGTAGATTTGGTTTGCATCGATTTTCAGCCATTTTGCATCAGTGAATGCATCGGTCCCGAGTCCTTTTCCGCGTAAAATCTACTATGACATCATCAAATCTATTGCTTTAGAGCCCTACGTCACGGTAGATTTGTCCGCTGAGCGATGCATCGCATGCAGATTGCGGGCGCTCGCATCAGTTCACTGATGCAGTTGCAAAATCAAAATCTACTGTGACGTAACGAGGCATTCGATTCAAGTCATGGCATGGCGGCAAGGATATGTAAACAGTGCCAAACACTAAATGCAAATGAGACAATTAATATTAATGGGAAGAAATATCTCTCGAAATTGACGGAGAAAACGGAGAACAAATTACCGAATTAATTACCAAGGCTTGGAATGAATCTAATCTTTCATCTGAGTACAAGAATTGAAGTATATTTATACTGTGAGATGCCCACTATGTGAAACTCGAACTGAGGGCTCTAAAGTAAGTGAAATTTATCTATATTTTACATTGTAGTTCATTCTTCAGTTCAAGAAGTGTATAAAGTGGAAAATGGGCTCCACAGTTAATGCAGATTTGTTTGTATTAACATTTAAATAATTAAAGTTTGTGTCTATTTATAAATACTATTGCTTACACCAGCAGGGGGGGGGGATGAGGTAGTTTGACATTTTACAGTCTTTACCGAGTAAGAGAGGTTTGCTTGTCTGGAGGCAAACCAGCCCCAATACCAAACTTGACAGCTTGCTTTAGTGAGGCAAATTTCATCTCTGTTTACATGGGATTATAACCTGTGCCCAGACCTTCATTTTTCTCACAGCTGGCGGGCAAAGAAAAATGAAGACCTGATACACATGTTATTAAACGTTTGTGTCCTACAACTGCCTTTATGGTTGTAACTCTGATTGGCTATTTCTAGCATGAGTATTCATGCTATATTTAATGTATTTTTTTTTATATTTTGGTTAATTAATGCTATATATAATTAAATAATTATAGATTTAGTGATTGTAACTATATTTAGCTTGTTGTTAAATTATGTGAAATCGACATTTCTCCTGGCACATTTTGATTGGATACCGGTACTAAAAATAAAACTATGGTGTGGGTCAAGACTTGCATCAGGCTCTGTATGTAATTACAGTGCATAATAATATTGCAGGTTAATTAATATCAATGAGATTTGTAATAGTGATGCAATATTGGTTAGAAGACTAAGGGGGAATTTACATTGAAAGGTAATTGGTTCAAGTTGCAAGTTCCAGTGGTATCTCCTATTACATTTCATTTTCATTTTATATGGAAATGAGCTGGCATGCCTCATGACATGAGTCTAATTGCTTTGCATTGCCTGAGTTATTGGGCAATTACTGTACACTGGATATTTTGCAAACAAACATGATTACCTGGGCTTGCTCGCCTACCATAGTTGAGTATATATATGCTTTGTCTGTGCAAATATAATTTGATATAAGCTGTATATGTCATTCTCCTGACAGATTTTAATCTTAGAATGATAAAATGATGGACGGTATAAATACTGTATGTAATTGTAACTGGTGTATATAGGATATAATTATGAAATTAGCTCACAAAAGTGGGATAGTTTGGAAAATATATTTAATAAAATTATATATTTGTAGTGCTAATTGTCCCAATACTATATACCCTGAGGATTACCATTGATAAGTGTATGGATATATTTGACAAAGATGTGCATTTATATAATAACACAGGGAAAATATTCATCAATACTACTGTGCAGCCTTTCTACATTGACAACATCTTAAAAGAATACTATATTAATATTAGTTGAAAGGCAGGCAAAAGGGAACAGATAGAAGACATGATTCAATTATGTCATGGTATATTGTTTATCATAATGATTGTACAGTTTGGTAGGTTCATTTGACAAACAATTTCCAACTAAGATAGTTCATTAAATCAATTTACACACAGACTCTATTGATTTAAAATTTGTGGTCGTGTGTACCTAGTTATACTAATAGAATTTTTAACCCAGTGCTTGTTGTGTGTTAGTTTACTGGTTTCCTGGTCACAGGGCAATATTCTCAGTATTCAGAGTGTGGGCTATTCACCATGCAGTTCATGTCAAAGGCAGCTAGGGGTGAATGAATTTAATGAAATCGACCAACTGATGTCAACCACACTGTCCATACAGTGTAAGATTAGCAGCATAAGACAGAGTTGTATATAAATAAGTTTACCCACTAGAGCACAAAATACCTTTATACACCATTCTAATGCTAGCAGATTTTACTCATGAAACATTGGAAATTAGTGGAAACTAATAATGGAAGGTGATTAAAAAACAACACAATAACACTGCCTTCTTCTGAGTCCAGCAATGCAACTAGTGGATCACACTGTATACACCTTTATTACACGCATGTGTGTATTTGCGTTGCTCGTGATTTTTTGCCGAAATATTTTTCAATAGAAAAGTTAAGGCTACAAGAAGCACAGTACTGACTATTTTTGAATAGAGACTTATGTACCACTGCTGCTATTACACTTGTACAAGCAAATATTGTTTTCTTATATAGAGAAATTATGTTGTTTTTACGATATAGGTTCAAGTTTTTTACGTGCTTCCCAAAAATGCAGCGAATAATTTTGTGACTCTGATGTCTGAATTGGAACAAAAGAGTTCGCTCAGAACGCAGCAAATCGCATTCCCGAGGTCCTAGATTTCAAAATTTCCCGGGGGAGGATACCCCCGGACCCCCCTACAAATGCGAGGTCTTAGGCATCAGTCACCTCAGAAACTGGATCCGCCCCTGGTATAAATCTTATCGAATTTAACCATTTTGCCACAGATTTTGACAAAAATATTTCTTAGACGGACAAAGTATTAATAATGGACACTCCTTTGCGTGAAAATGTTAATTTAGCCGAAAGTTTGAATAAATTAATCCAAGATTGCATTATTTGCATAATAATGTACTTGTCATTGACCAATCAGAATGCATAGAAGAGCGGCCGGTGCCAGGGCCTTTTCCCGCCTTCCCAATGACAAAAAGGGAAAAGCCCTGGGAACGAGGTTGTACGATCATCTCTCTATATTTTGAATAATAATACCTACGGTAAGTTCAACAACGTAGAGGTGTTTGTGGAGACAAGTAAATCAGGACGATATTCATCTCCCGTAATAATCGAGAGGCTTTCAAATCCAGGAAGATCAACATGTAATTTGCATAAAAAAATATTAATTTATTGTTATTATTATTATTAATTATTAATAGTAACTATTAGTAATTATTAGTAATTATTAGTAATTATTATTTTTTTATTATTATAATATTAATAATAATAATAAATTTCCTATGCAGACATTTAGAGTTTAGACTAGTATTTAGTATGTTTATACATCTACATAATATCTATATATATTATCTAATATATATCTTCTTAATAGTCTTGAAAAGTAACATTAACAAAACCACACTGGCAAACACTGGCAAATATTGCAAGAAAACGCTCCTTGCAAGCAACGTCAAGCATAATTATAACCGACGCTTTTTGGTAACCCCGACGGGTCCATTTGAGCCAGAATAAAATGGCGAATTTGAAGCAGCAGAGACTGATGGGTACTCGATCTCACGATGTGCAGCGGAAGAGAACGTACACGCATGTTTGTAGCGACAAACTGCCGAAGGTGCTACGTACCGTCCCTTGTTCCACGAGAAACACTTGACGGAACAGTCATGGTTACGATTACCATTAGGCTCGGAACGAGAACTACTAGTCGCTGTAGTAAGTCTGCTGGGACCTCTATAGGCCGAACCAGACGTGTGGAAATTAAAAAGCTGCACATTAAGTTCAGTGGCGTAACGTTATATCAGGGGGCCCCCGGTTCAAAATTTTCGAAGCCTCCCCCCCCCTAGTAGAAGTGCCAAAAGCACGAGTTGAGTACCGTACACGCACGAGTTTTTAGGGGGTCCAGGGCATGCTCACCCCGAAAATTTTTTAATAGAGTCTCCGTGAAATGCCATTTCCGGGACTTTGGGAAGAGATTTTACAGAATTTTGATGGTCAGAAAACGACATTGTAACATATCAGTGGCCCTGGCTAATGTTTTTGCTCTACAGCCTGAGTCTGGGGGCTCCCATTTGGCCCATTGGGGTTGGGGGCCCCCGAGTTTGGCCGGTCCGAGCCCATAGTAGTTACGCCACTGATTAAGTTCCGACCAGTCCAAGAGCCTGGTAGCAGCCGCGTGTTGTCTAAACGCTTTATCGTAATCACACCATGCATAACCAGCAACCTGACGATACGTGCGCAAAATTAAAAGCTTGTACGATGATAAATCACGCCATCGGTTCGGAAAGTACGAACAGACAATCACGCTGAAGACTGTGAAGGCTTCGACCCAAGACAAGATATCGGTTATTTCTTTCCGAGGCTTTCGCGCAGAACCCGTTAACACTAGACGGCCGTCTAACAATATGTGTGGTTCGCTAAAATCGTCCACAACCAGCGCATTTTCCGGGAGTAGGTCCCCAAGATTAGTAAATTTCCCTGACACAATGGCATTGACAATTTTGGCCGAGATGGGAGCGTAACCTGGACCCACGATAAACGGGGAAGGGCCATGACCATGAAGAGACTGGGGTAACGATTGTTCGCTAGAATAACCAGCCAAATCCAACACTGAAGGCAGCAAGGGCACAACTGAAGGTTTAGACGCTAAGGCAACCTCGGGGGTACTATAACCACCTCCCGAAGACCACACACTTGAGCTGATAGGAGCAGTAAACGTATTTAAAAAGTTTGGAATGATCCTACCTGTTGAATTCGCCAAACAACTCACCATACGTGGCATACCGGTACTTGCCTCACTCGTAGCCGACGATCGAAATGGCGCTGAACCCAAAGTGGAAAAATTCCCCGCACTGGTCGCAAGGTTATGCACGAAGGACGCTGTACGGGATGTGGCTGTAGAGAGTTGTGCCTGCGACGATTCCTCGCAATTTGCGCTTGAACTACCACTTGCCGACGAAGATAGCTGGGCGTCAATGGCATTCTGTACCAGGCTGTTTAGTTGACCTTGTAATACTTGGACTACATTGGTAACAATATCCCCGGTCGACAATGCTGGCATCGTACTCGTTCCCGACTGAACAACGGTGTTTGTGGTCGTAGATGCGCTAGATGTAGCGCCAATAGATGTAGGCGAGTCCGAGCTAGACCGCTCCGAACTAACAACACCCGAAAAGACGGGCCCTGATTCTCGACTATTTCTGGTTAGACGAGGCATAACGCAAGCAAAATAATGTAACAACTGAGAAAAAGTAACGAGGCGCTAAACTTGATGCAACTAGGCAAAGCATACAATGGCAGAATGAATACCCAGACCAAAGCAATGATCACAAGGGGCGAAACAACCCCCTTTGATCGATATGACGTCACGGACTCCCCTCAGCGGATGTAGCATGCATAATACATCCGCCGTTAATCTTGCTTAAATATATTTAACCACATTTAATCTTTATCGTATACTGTATTCGACATTTTAGAAGTTTCACCAAATGATCCTGGAGGCAAACAACCTATCTCTCAATGGAAACTTAAAAGGCTTAATAAAACTCATTAATCATGGATTTCGTGCGCAATACAGTTTATGAATTGTGTATTTATCCCTGATAAAACGTAGGGACACTTTATACCAGATATAATTATAAAAAATACTTTGCTAAACCTTTTCGGCTATCATTCCTTTGCATTCAAGGGGCGAGGGTGAATGGCGATATAATTTATAAGAGACGCTGACATGCTGTGCAATATTTTGGCTTCAACAAACAGGTACTCGTTCTGACAAAAAAGGAAATACATACACAGTTGTGAATGTCGTATAGTTGTGCACTGTCGATCCCAAACAATTTTGCACGTTAACGGCTAACACTCTTTCCTACTTGCTGTTAAATATAAACGATGATAACCTTTTTAAAAAAAAATCAAAGCACTATGTCCATAAACAGTTTTAGAATCAATAGAATGGACATTCATTGTCTATTTGGATATTGTCCAAATGTGTAACGTTTGCTGTAAATAAGACCAGCATGGCGCTACGACCTACACATGCAGTCACTTTTGAGACCTCTATTTAACAAAATCTATACCGTTTCTATATGACAACAATTCAATGGCATATTATAAGAATATTATAAATATCTGAACCAGAGCCAGAACACAGAAACGTACGCGTGAAATGAAACTGCGCCCGAACTCCGTACTATTTCAAAGCCAAATGTTTCAAAGCATACGGTCATACGTTTTCGTTGCTTGATTTCCATGTTTGTATAATTTAAAAACCAATTTAGCAAGTATTTTAATTTGAAGTATATCTGACTCTCAAAGATGATTGTACCTCTGTGATAGTGCAGAACGGCCACTCCTTGCAATCGAAGTATGAAGTTCGGAAGTGGAAACATGTATTATGAGACTTTTACATCCCCCCTTGGGCTACAATTTTCTATGGGTCACGTGACCAGCGTCCACCAGGGTCTTTCGTCCACAAGAGGGAAGAGCATTGGGGGACATTCTCTATGGCTATCAACACTTGACGTATTTTGATCTGTTTTTCGCAATTTTTTGACAAATTTAGATGACTGTGAATTACGGTAATCTTTAATCTGCACTTGAAAGCCACTATCTGAGCCACTGTCCGAGTTATTCACTGGTATGTCGTCATTTTCAACAGTCAATGCATCAAAATGATTAAAGGTGGATCGAGAGCCCTGTTGTGGAGAGTCAGGAACAGGCACTTGATTCCAATGGTTTGAAGATTTCGCTTTTATCCAGACATTCTGTTTCAAATCAAATGTCTTTTGGATTAGTTCATTGTCAAGCTTCAACTGCTCTAGGGTCACTTTCTTATTATCAACTTCAATCTCCAATTTCCTGTTTTTGTTAATAAGCATGTGGATTATGCCATCTTGGCCTTCGATTAATTAGTACTTATTTCTCTCAATTTTGAGTTCGTTTTGCGTAGATTCACCTACGCTATAAAGCGACAATAATTAATCTAGCTTAAGTTTTATTTCATTCAATTATTCTCTTTGTTTTGGCAATTCGATGACATGTCGGATTGATTTACAGACTCGTCGTTTGAATTCTCAAATTCTAGCGCAACATGTTCGTTATCCTCGCCGCTATACTCGTCAGTGTGTTTCCTAAGCTTTTCGGCTAGATACAAATCTTCGTTGTCAGTTACAATGACAATTTTCTTCTTGGTAGTACCATACCATTTGAACGCGAAGTTAGGATTTGTGAACAATTTCAATTCGCCGCCAGGTGACGACCATTTCCCATTTAATAGCTGATGGTCATCCTGAACAAATTGCTTTAATTCATCATTATTATTATTATTATTTTTATTATTATCATTATCATTATCATTATCATTATCATACTATATTTTCTGCTGTCGAAATAAGGAATGGGAAAGTCCGAACTTGTTAACTATTTGAAATATCTGATTGTCTTGTATATTTACATATTTTCATGTATTCTGTCTTGTCATATTTATTAGTTCATATAGTTGTGATTCAAATAGCCAATTGTAAGTTACCTTAATTTAGTGAGATTTAGAATTGTATTTATATAGTATATAACAAAATTAGTAAAGTTTCCATTATTATTATTATTATTATTATTATTATTATTATTATTATTATTATTATTATTATTATTATTATTATTATTATTATTATTATTATTATTATTATTATTATTATTATTATTATTATTATTATTATTATTATCACTGTTTCTGATATATCTAAGACCTGGATCTGCGAAACGTTAGACAGTATTGCGACAAAATATATCCGAAAATGGCTGGAACTTCCTGTCTCTGCAACCCTTAGCAACGTGTTGCTTCCACAAAATAAATTTGGTCTGAATATTATTCTCCCTTCGACAAAATTTATCCAATGTCAAACTATCTCTCGGTCAGCTTTAAAATACTCACCAAACGTAGATATTAACAATCTATGGGCGGTGACGAGCACCAACAAGAACGTACAGTATGACATTTACAAAGACACAAAAGACGTACTAAAGGCAGTTAGAAAAGAAAACGAACAAAGACTTCAAAACCACCTCATTTCGCAAGGTTCTTTCTTTTCCAGTATCATGAATCATTCCACATCCACATTCAACTCTTTATGGTCATCCGTTCAGAGTAAACTTCCGAAAAACATTTTTAACTTCACCATCCGATATATCAATAACACACTTCCAACACGAAAGAACCTATCAAAATGGGGACTATCATCAACATCAGATTGCTCTTTCTGCTCCTCACCTGAAACGCTGCTACATGTGATTGCTGGATGTAAGACATATTTAGACCAAGACCGGTATACATGGCGACACGATTCTGTTTTAAATTTCCTCGCATCCACTCTTACTGCTGTGAAAAATTCCACACTTTACGCGGACATTCCTGGTTTTATGAATCCGTCTGTTATCACGGGAGATCGTTTACGACCTGACCTTCTGCTGGTGACTGAAAACAGATGTCTACACATCCTCTAGCTTACAGTCGGTTATGAATCCAATCTGCTAGTTAACGCCAATCGTAAGCGTCAAAAGTACCGTGATCTAATCAATGAGCAGGAAGCAGATTATGATAAAGTCAAGTTCGTCAATTTATCCTTGAGTACCCTCGGAGTTTTTGGCCGATCTTCTGAAAATTTCGATGGCATGCTAAGTAGCCTTAAATGTGATGCCAAGTATAGTAAATACATAAAAAAGCAAATCGTGAACATATGCATACGAACATCATATTATGTAATTTGTAAACGAAACAAGGTGTGGGATAACCCAAAATTAATGTTAATATAATCCTTCTTAAAATAATTATTGTACAATAAATATATAGTATCAATTCAAGTAGACATTGATAAACTACCTGTAAAGCGAGGTTTATCATTGTAGTTGTATATATCTTAATAATCAATAAATAAAGTTTCCATTATTATTATTATTATTATTATTATTATTATTATTATTATTATTATTATTATTATTATTATTATTATTATTATTATTATTATTATTATTAGTTAATTTGTATAGGTAAGGTGGTGCTAATCCGTTCTTACATTTGTGTGTTATTAGTGTCTCTCTATATTTTAAGTGCTCCTCTACAGGAAGCCAGCGAATTGCCCGTAGTGCTGGTGTTACATGGTCATATCTTCCCGTACTTGTCAATATCCTACAAGCAAAATTCTGTACTGCTCTCAATTTCTTTATATTTGTTGCAGAAGTGTTTGACCATACTGCAGAGCAATAATAAAGTTTGCTCATTACTAAAGCATAATTAAGCGAAGACTATCCCTATGAAAGCTCTCCTGTACTCTGTTTATCTGACATAGTTTGGCCATACAAGATGATACAACATTTTTGACATGGTAATCGTATGTCAGATAACTGTCTAGGGTTAATTCTAGGTCTTTGGCATTAATTTGTGGTTGGTGTAATCTCTTCTCCAAGAAATGTAATTGTCGTCTCGTCAAGGAGCTTACCGAGCAGTTGACGAGTCCCTATCAAGAGCAACTTTGTTTTCTCGGGGTTTATCAACAATTTGTTTTCGAAAAACGAAGCTGCAACGAATTTGAGGTCCTCTTCTATCTTTGTTTTTGCACTGGCAATATCTTCAATTGGAAATGAATTGATCTAAATTTCCATCCCAGACAAATTTGTTGCAGTTAAAATGTAACCTTGGGGTTACTAAAGATTTTTGTGTGTTTACTTCGCTGATAGAATCAGAAAAGCTTTGTATAATTTGTGAATTTGAAGAGCTAGACAAATCAAGTGCTACCGCCATATTGATATATGATTAAACGCTTCAAATGTCGAGACTTAACTTGAGCGTCGAATATTTTCAATGACTTCGAGTCAAGCCTCTCTTTTTTCACGAGGCTTAACTCACACTTTCTCGTAGTGCCTGTTTTCGATTATGCCGACCTGATTCGCGGCGATAATGGCAACACCACTCTCATGGATGATTTGCAAATCTTGCAGAACAAAGTAGCAAGTAGATAAGGTATTATCCTATAAATTTGAACCTTAATTGGGCTTACAGACAAGCAATACGAGAGCGACTCCGAAGAACAGAGTTTATCGTGTGACGAGGAACTCACCATATATGTTTGAGGTCGAAAATGTTTGGCACATTGAAGCCAAAGGATATTGAATTGTTTTTGTTGCCACGAAAAAACATTAAAATACCGTGAATGCGATAAGTAAGATGCATTGTTGAAGGAGCCTGAAACACAAGGGGAGAATTGCTTGACTGCCTCTATAACACTGTCAACACATGCAGAATTCAAAGCGAACATGCTGTCGGAAGGGGTATTAAATAGACGTTTCGACGTCGCTCTCTTTAAGATATTAAACTGGCCTCTGGATGACAAAGATTTTAGATTTGGACAAGATACACAAACTTTATATATAGACTAGTAGCATACCAACGATGTTCTCGTTGGGCATTTCTGATTTGGGGGAATAAGGACAGAGAGGCCCACTTCCTGCTTGTGTTTACACAATATAATAATAGACAATTCCCATTGTAGACTAATTTTAAAACTATGCAAGGAGATACAAATAAATCACCCCCGGCTAGAAAGAGCATACTAAAATGAGTAAAATTGCAAAGTTTGGTTGCGAAATGTTGTAAAGCGCGGAAAATATAGCCTTGCAAATTTTGTAACATTTTCGGCCCAAATGTGGTTGCAATTTCCGCACGCAATACAAAAGTATACAAAATTTGCAAACTTTGCAAAGGTTCAAGGCTCTTTCGGTCAAAACCTAAGCCTCAAAACCCAAGGTTGAAGACGCTCTATGCAATCGGTGTTATTATAAACGATTTTTGCACGCGAATAGCAAAGAATCAAAACATATTGTGCTCGGTCATTATTAGTGTTTATTTATGCGATATTGTTCCTGTTGATGCCGGCAACATTGTAACTTTCATACATTGAAATTGGTCATGGCCGTGATCGCCGAGAACAGTAAATATAAAAGTCTACAAAGTAGGCGAGCATATTGACATAGTACCAGTGGTAATCATTAATCAAACCGCGTTCACCTCCGAAATGAACGCGTTTATTTTAAAAACGCATTTTGAACACATAGAAAAGTAGTGCTGCTAAATTTTTACGCAGTTATACAGAAAAATTTTGTAGTTTTAGTTTTTAACTGCACTTTTTGGTCAAAATGTTCGCAGAATGTGTTCGCACACATACTATTTTATATTGACAATATTTGTTTCCCCTGCTCCTGACGTCACAAACTTATTCTCACATAAATTAGCATACCAGGTTTGTTTCATTGGCGGATGACTGTCGAAAGTTTTATAATATTTCTGAACAACTAAACGCGATAGACAAGTGAAAATACGTAATTCAGTATTCCGTATGTATGTTTAATAGGTATCGAGAATAAAAAAAATTATTGCCATTGTCCGTTAATTTCATTTCTTTTAGCCAATTGTAACTTTGACAATGGAGATATCTGCCATTATCAAAATGGTGCTGGACAGTTTAACTGGACGATTAATAGAGGATCAACATCCAGTATTGGAACCGGACCAAGCTCTGACGTCAGCGGCACAGGTAAACTGTCAAATAAAACTTAGGTCCTATAGCTAGAAACAGTGAAAGATATGATTATGTTTACGATTAGATTTTTTAACATTGGCTTTGGACATTTGCGATAAATAACAATCACGTTTTAGTTGGATCTTAACAATAACTCTTTCTATTTGTTAGCACTAAAAATAAGATTATTGAACTGTCCGCGTTTTGCTCATCCTATCCGAAATAGATAAGAAAAATTAAACCTTTTGAGTAAAGGCTCCTCATCTGCAAATTAGTTTAAATTTCCTTTTTGCAAGTAAATTGGACAAAACCTTCACTTGGTATTGCAGCCTAGAGCCTACACAGACGCCATGCAGATTATTTAGGCAAAAGTACTAATTCTAGAATATTGCACGGCGCTCACGTTGCAAGATGCTTACCTCTGAAAAAATGGGCAACATAGCTGGATATTTCAAGTAACGCGATCTCAGTTGATTCAAGAACAGCTTTGTGACTTTGCAGTTAATATTGTTTTGGTCAATAAACCTTTTTCCAACTTTTTAAAGGTTTTTATCTGTTCATCGAAACTTCAAGTCCACGACAGTTTGGTGATAATGCTACAATTCTAACACCTTATTTGAACGGCCCACAATGCATGAAATTATCTTACCATATGTACGGTAATGATATTGGAGACCTGAACATCTACGCGAATAAGCAAAAGATGTTTTCAAGATCGGGAAATCAAGGAAACCGATGGGTCGGTGTGGAAACAGCAATCTTAGAACGTGGAAAATATATGGTGAGTAAAAATAGCTGAATTTCAGATGCGCTGAAAATAGCAGACTATATTGGGCAAAAAAATTTTTTTTCAAAGCGAGAAGGAAGAGGGTCCTGGGTAAACTTCGGTATGAACCTTGTTAATTCTTTACATGTGTCTGAAAACAAAATAGCTTTTCGCCTAACCCGAAAGGATAATCCAACGTTCTTGTTGACAAAAAATCGTTCTAATTTCCAGTGGCGTAGCCAGAATATAATTTATTTGGGGCGGGGTATATATCGAACGCCGAAGGCGTAAGCTTTATAGGGGGGTCCGGGGGCATTCTCCCCCGTGAAAATTTTGAAATCTGGAGTCCCTCAATTGTCGATTTCCCGTGTTTCTGAGGTGAGATTTTGCATAATTCTGAAGATTATTTACTGTAGGAAAGACCTGATTTTTAATGATTTCTCAATCGGAATGTGGATCCTTAATTTGACTCAATGAAGCTTACTTGGTCGCGTGTAAATAGTTAAATCGTAGTTTTAAAACGCATTTTAACCAATAACCACCATAGGCATTATTTTCTGTAGTTAGATTTAGGAAAGATTAGAACTTTTATAGACAATTAGGTGAACAGATGAGATTGGTAGTCACATGGGTAGTCATCGTCCCCCCCCCACTAATTTCTACTCGGATTTCGTCTTTTGCAAGGGCAGTCCTTCAGCCTATTGGGGGGGGGGGGTTAGCCCCCCCCCCTTGTCTACGCCTCTGAAGTAATTTCGTTGCCAAGAGCAAAAAAAGCTGAATATTCAATTTCTTGTATAAATATTTAAGGTTAAGTTCGAAGGTGTTCGCGGTCGTAGTTACCAAGGGGATATTGCAATCGATGCTATCAGCTTCACTCCTGGAAATTGCACATTCCAAACACCAAAATCATCAACAACTCGTCCAACAACTACAACAAGAAGACCAACAACCCCTACGACACAAGCAGGTACTGTAATGGTCTACCACTTTTACCATTTTTTTGTAAAATACAACCAACTGAATTCATTATACAGCAATGATGATAACATGTCCTGGTTGCGTTCCACTGCCGGCCATTCATATTCCAAGGTCCGTATACCGACTTACTGCGACGTACAATTACGTGGTCGTACACAAAACAGAACTTTTTTCAAGTTTTTCAACAATGTGAAGATTTTATTATGTTAAACTGGTGTATACTATTCTCCATCTCCAAAAACGTAACGGTCACCCAGCAGAGAAAATAGGGTATATTTCAAAACAAATAATTAAGAAATTAAGAACTATTTAAGGTTCAAATAACCTTTCTTATATCACTTAGGTCAATAGTTAGGAGGTGAACAAAAAGTATTTGGCTACTGCAAAAGCAATCTCGTTCCCAGGGCCTTTTTTAAAATTGCGGCGAAGGGAAAAGGTCCTGGCACCGGCTGGTCTTTTATGTATTCTGATTGGTCAATGACAAGTACATTATTATGCAATTTTGGATTAATTTATACACACTTTGGGATAAATTAACATTTTCATGCAAGGAGTGTCCATTATTCCTTTGTCTGTCTGCAGAGAAATATTTTTTGCATATTATCTGTGGAAAAAAGGTCAAATTCGATAAGATTTATACATGATTTGTCCAAGGTTAGTATTATTGTTTGTTTTAAATTGTGCAAGAACATGAATTGTGTACTACAACACGCCTCTGACCGATTATTTAGGGGATAATGTGCCTTCATTTAATGGCTTCGTATAGCGTTATTTTGGTGTACAAATACTTTCTTGTATACTCTGGGTTTATAAATATGACCTTTAGTTTTTGATATTATTCATATTTAAATTAGTCGAGTTTAAATTGGGTTAATTTAAAGTTACCATTAGAAATGCGACGATATTTTTTTATATGCAACATTGTTTACAACTTTTGAATAATGACATATGATTTGATTTTGTTTCAGAGACCAAAATTCATTCAGAAATTGTGCAGCGTGTGGCTTCATTTTTACCATAAATTGTTTTAAAAAAGTGATTGCTTATTTTGCTGATGTTACCAGAGGCGTAACTAGAGCGTTAATTGGGGGGGGGGGGGTATATTCATATATTCGTGTTCTGCCCGTCGAATTTCTTTTGAATTTCTTTGTTTTTAAGTTCATTTCAAAAGAAATTAGTCGGGCATGAATATACACCCCCCCTCCCAATTAACGCTCTACTTACGCCACTGGATGTTACAGTTTTCGATCTGATGTGTTCTGTTCTGATGGTATTAGAAAAATTTCAATATGAAAGTGCAGGTGTCTTTAGACGTCAGCCATAATGTATACATCAAAGTAGCGATAATTTAAATCCATTTCCAGCTTGATTGTGTTGGTGCAGACACAGTTGTGCAATGATGGACTTATGTCCATGTGCTTGCATGCATGTACATTGATGCCTCAAGAGATGTTACAAATGTGTAATAAAGGGCTGTTCACAGGAGTTGGGCTGGCTGGCCAAGCCAACCTGGCCCAAGTCAACCTTCTGAAAAACCTCTGCATGCATTGTTTTTATGATATTTTATTTAAAGATTGTATGCATATGGCTGGACCAAACAGGTTACAATCAGGCCTGAAAATCAGGTTACAATGCATGCTTGAAAATGTGCAACAATTTCACTTCATTGCTAATAATATTCCAGAAAACCCTGCCACTCGGGCATGTCTATACTGATTTGTTAGAAGGGGTGGAGGCTTTCCAGAGGTGATGCGTTACTACAGGGGTCAGGGGGAATTCTCCCTGAAAATCAATCATTTCAATATAATAAATATCAAATATGAAATACCAGAGATTTCGTCAAGTGGATGCTGGACACAACTAGGCAGTGCGCATGACACCCCTGCACTACACCGGTACATCCCCGCTGTTTTCTGTCATTGTCAGCTTGCATGCTTCATTTTGAAGCAAATGACATCTGTGATCAGGTACTGGGTCAGAGTCAAACTCATGCGAACAGCTATTAAGTCCTAATGATATTGCTAATTATGTACACTTTGGGTTGGTAATGCACAGCAATTTGTAATTTTATAAATATAATATTTAATAAAAAGTAATTATATACATTGTTTTGTTGTTTATATTAACACCTTGTACTTGGACAGTATACCCATTCTGAGCCAAAGACATTACGAAACAATTATCAAGGATTTTGCATGCATGCATGCATGATAAAATTATATTTAAAAATAACTGCTCCCCATGTACATGTGACACATGGTTCAATTCTTGCATTTACCAAGTAAGCCCCTCCTAGACTGGGTCAAGGTAGCTATAAGTATAAGTAGGGATATAACGTCAATTAAAATTTACAAATAGAGCTTTTCGAATAGACCATTGTGAAAGTTTTATCAATTTTTTAACCCTTTATAGTGGCAATGCATGTGCCCTATTTTAGGCATCTAATGCCAGATGATTTTACTCATTTAAGGGAGAATGATACCACTCAATGAATTAATATATTCTCAGAACAGTTAACATAAATTTAAATCGATTTTGCTGGCAAAATATCCCAATTTATGGACTATTCATTATCTATACACTAGCTAGGGTGGAGTGGGAAGAAAGGGAAGGCGTCGTTGATTTGTTGAGTCGTGCATGTTGAAGGGGGAGGGGGGGGGGAGTGATCGTTGTAAAAAACTGTATAGTAACTGGTTTCAGAAAATATTTGACTGCATATCAGTTGCCAAATGGCATGAACTTACATTGATATTATTAAAACACTATAAATAAGAAATTAGGAGAAGAATTGTTGTAATAGAGATATAATTTTAAGACAAATCTTCTAAAGGAAGCAATCATTCTAGCTATTATAGTGTATGTTGCAAAATTTATTTTCTTCATAGTCGGGTATTCGCATGAATGAAGATTAGAATTGCATCATGTTATATGGTCTCAAATATTTAGGGGGGGGTCTCCATTATTAAGAGACTAAAATAGGCAGTCCCATGACATTTTGACATAAGAATCTCCCACCGCACTCTAGGGTATAATGAATGGTCCCTTAAAGTACATGTCATCTTAATTGCTAACTTTAACTGGCTGGGCACCTTGCCCCTTTTATGCAAAAGCTATTCCGTTGCTTTATCTCTGGGAAAAATATCAAAGCAACTCTCCACTCTGATAAGGCTGATAATGTGCAGATGGTAACAGCAAGAACTGAAGCATGCATGCAGCAAGCTTTACTGGGGTACATACTATTAGAAGCAAAATTTGCACATGCTAGTTTGCCAGTCATGATTTTAAACGTAATATTTTCATCTCATATAGAATTCCTAAGGTCTTGCCTACATTTTACTGGAAGCAAACTAAGATGCATGTCCAATAAAAAATCTGTTTTGGTCATATCAGTCATATGTCAGCTTTTCAGTTTCAACAACATTTGGCTGCGAATAAAATGTAAACAAGGAAAGAGCATACAGCACTTCGTGTGTATTTAAAATATCAATGAATAAATATTCCAACCATTGGCAGTTACCAGTGACTTTGTCAACAATAGACCAATAACATCATATACATCCAAAAATATTTCTTTGAATCACTGTATATTCTTCATAAACTCGCTCCAATCGTCGCACGCCAGAGTTTTCGGAAGGGTAAACACCAGGTTTAATTCACATACCCAGTTCAAAACACTTTCCGTGTCCTCTTAGGCAAGCCTGTCCAGCTGGAGAACATCTGTCGTAATACTAAATCTATTTTTCGCATATTTCATCTGTTAATTTTGTTTAATAGCGAACGAACAAAATTGGAAGAACGGCAACTACATAGTTCCCATGTAATGAAAGCTATTATATTATATATATTATATCGATATTATACTAATTTTCAATTTAAATTAAACTTACCAAATATTCTCTCGATGCTCTTCGACCATATTTCTCCACAGTAGATTTTTCCAAACAACCAAAGATTTCCCTAGCAAGAGAAGCTGCTGCAAACGTTGTCAACTAAAGACTATGCTTCGAATATTAAACACTGCCGAAATGTATACGGACGCTTAGCTATTGTCACTTGATGGCGAGGGATGCGAAAAACTGCTGAGCTCAGCGAAAACAGTGACCCTTCGCCCGAACATGTCCACGGCTGCCCGTAATAATATCCATTTATATTCATTAGGATCCTAGTGGTTATGCAAATTCGTATTGGCTTAATCCCCTTAATTACTTCATCCTTTGTGTTTTACACGTGGGAATTACCAGGCAACGCTGCCATTAGAATATTTATGTTTCTATCAATGAAACTATATATTTCTGAAAATAAACTTGTAAAACCATCGTTTAAAGTAACATAAGCAGTGTGCTATATTATTTGCAATGGTAAATCACCGCAATCGCTATTAAGGGAATATAATTAATTTACACAGAATGTGATTTGCTGTTAAAATTTATCAAAAAATACGAACATATCTCAAGATGTTTCTGTACCTAGCAGCAACGTATAGCAAGCCAATCCTAATCCCTCCATTGTATCACACACGTGAAGGGACGTTAAAAAATGCTTACTCTGCAAGTTTTGTCCAATTTCGCCCGCGTGACCTCATTACTTGCCTACACTTGCCCGCGTGACGTCATTATTCCGCCTCATTCCTCCTCATTTCTCCTCCTCACTCCACCACACTCCTGCGCCGTTCCTCCGCCCATCCTCCGCCCCAAAAATAAGGGTCGAACGGCCTCTATATTACTACTCATTTAGCATTAAAATAGATTTATGTTTTCAAATGTTTACAATGTTACCAGTGCATCCTTCAAAGACCGTGTTGCTTACAGTATGTGCTTTTTATCTTTCACACATTCTTCTTTGTTTTCGGGAAATAATCTTGCAAAATTTTCAACTTCATCACAATAATTTTGGACATTACGAAGATGTTCTTGGCCTGCCAACAAATATTAAAATGTCAGGTCATATTTTTTCCCATTTCAAGCTCTGTTCTATATTTAGAAGTGGATGAGTGTTCCCGAGGAATTGACAACTGCGACAGTAATGCTCAGTGTATTAACACTCCTGGCAGTTTTTCATGCAGATGCAACGATGGCTTTACCGGAAGCGGCGTGATTTGCTTTGGTTAGTATACAACAATTGGAAATCCTTCGACCTTACAACTATATATTTTTTTATTTCTGTCAACTTTTCTCGCTATAGTGCGTTATCATTCTCATTTCGCTATCAATTACACACGCAACCATATTCGTCGATTCTAAATTACAACTAGGTTTACATGCATGCAGCAAACCCTCGCCTGTATTTCCAAACATTAATTTAACATGAAGTATTAGTAATTGATCAAAATTGAACGCAGGCAAGCGTTTACGTCAGTTTTGCCATGGCAACACGATAATTTCAATTTTTATTACATTTTTTGTACAACACGTCAAAAATAAGATTTTTTGTGTTGGTGTTGTGTACTAAGGTGAATATGATGTTTGTGATGTTACTCTGAGTGTGTCGAACCGATCTGAGCGCGGACCTCAGTTGGCAGAGGATTGGGCTAGTATTCCAAAGGTCGTACTGTAGGTTCGATTCCCACCGTGGCCAGGCATATTTTTCAAGCTTGCCCGGTGTGGATACACACTCAGAGTAACAACACAAATATCATATTCACCTGAGTACACAACACCAACACAAAAAAATCATGCTTATTAGATTACATTGACGTCGAAGGAACTAGACTCAGTTCCGACATATCACATACTCGAACCGATCTGACCACGTAGCTCAGTTGGCAGAGCATTGGGCTAGTATTCCAAAAGGTCGTAGGTTCGATTCCCACCGTGGCCAGACATATTTTTCAAGCTTGCCCGGTATGGATACACACTTGGAGTAACATCACAAACATCACGTCAAAAATAGTTGAAATCATATTTTTGAGATCAGTGAGGATGACACTCACGGTTCGTGACCCACGCACGCTCATTGATGAACTTTAGACGTCACTAATGCTTTCCTTTCCCCGGGTGTAAATAGTCGGGCGGAATTAGTACCCTCACCCCGGGCTAACACCAGGAACGGTGCTCCGCGCCGTTGGCTCGGGGATAAAGTTGAATTCTAAGAGAGAAATCACGAGGAAAGGCAAACAAGAGAAAACCATGGAAATTTGGTCCAGATAAATTATTTTGATAAAGTTACATTAAAGTTAGTTTATCAGTCACGACAATGCTCTGCTAATTCTGTTGGCAGAAATAAGAATTTGAATTGAAAAACATGCAATGCTGAAATGACGTAATAATTAAAAATTTCGACACGAACGTCTCTTTTATTCATCTTTAGACATTAATGAATGTTCTCTATCCATTCACCACTGTCATTCCCACGCTTCTTGCACCAATATTGCTGGATCTTTCCGGTGTTCTTGTGTTGTTGGATATACTGGAAATGGGATTCTTTGCCAAGGTAAATTGTTATTTTACTTTTTAAGATTGCGTTTAAAGGAAATGTCAAACAATATACATCATTGAATAAAAAAGAAGATCTTAAGGCCCGTTTACACGGTCGGATTTTTGATGCGATTTTAGTTGCGATTTTCTCCTTTCGTAGGATGTGAAGGAGTTGATCAGTTATAAATATCCCAGGTTATGAAATTTCATAACAACATCATTAACTAATCTACTCCTTCACATCCTCCAAAAGGAGAAAATCGCAGCAAAAATCGCCCGTGTAAACGGGCCTTAAGTAAAGGCCGTTTCACACTTCAACCGGAAATTGTGCTGAAGCGTAGCGTATTTCTTTGTTTCCTGAGCACTAGAATGGAACTAACGACTTCGATAGAAATGAGAATGCCACGATAGGATGAAATGGGAAACGCACTTAAGTTCTTTTCTTGAAGAGATCGGAATCAGATTAATGCAAATATTACGTTTTTCTTTGTTACATGTTAATAGACATCAATGAATGTTCATTATCCATTGATACCTGCCACCCAAATTCAACTTGTACGAACATTAACGGATCCTTCGAATGCGTCTGTGATACTGAAGATGCGAACGTTTGCCAAGGTACGTAAAAAGCAGCATGATGGCACCTATATATACATATAGCTAATTATGCTCATTACTTGGAAATCAACTTTTATTCTCAAGTGGGCGACTTGCCTTATAGCGATAGCCGCTATGCATCACGGTACGAGTCGACGCTTTGCAATCGAACAACATGTGAACTGTATAGGATCGAGTGATTTTGCTTGAAAGATGAAATGGCGGATTTTCAACAACTTTTTGCTTCCATCAATGACTTTTATCCCTACACAGCAAAAAGTCATTTTCTTACTGAGAAAATATATCTCATCTTAAGAAATTTTTTCTTAGGCAAAGAAAAATTTTCTGATGCGAAGAAAATTTTTCTCATTTTAGGGGACCAAATCTCGACTAGAATTTAATTTCTTGAAATAAGAAATTATTTTAACCCACAGAATTACTCACTTTGATGAAAGAAATTTTTTTCTTGATGTTAGAAAAACTGTTCCTAATATGAGTAAATAATTTCTTGATACAATAAAAGTGATCTTAACTTCTAAAATTCTTGTTATAAGAAAACAAATCTTGAGTACAAAATCTTGAATGTTTCTTAAAATAAGAAAACTTGTTTCATTGAAAGATTCACATCCTTGTTTCAAGAAAATTATTTCTTGACGTAAGAAAATATTATTGTATTGAACCGAATACATACACTTAATAAATCTTAATTATAACCATGCATATGCATGCAACACAATTTTTATCACTTACAATGAACAATTTAATATTTTATCCATTTCATTTTCCTTCTTACGTGCTTGTAAAAGGAGTGCACGTGTTGCCGGGCAATCGTCGACTCCACAGCGGGGCGAAGAAGTTTACTTCATATTGCTGCGTACGCTGTGGCATAGACAATCCAAAAGACATTGG